GTATTAGACCTCTTCGAGGTCGAGTACGCCGGTTACGACTAGGGGGTGCTCCCGGGTCGTGACAATCTTGAGCTAGGAGATGGAACAGAATTGACAACCATTACTGATATGCAGAAGGTATTTTTGTTTTCTTTTTCATTTATTCATTTATTTTCTTTTTTATTTATTCATTAAGTTAGATCTCATGTTATTCTAAATGTTGTTGTTTAAAGGGTCTTGACAAAGCTATTCAAGATCTTCTGCCAAATGCAGAACAAAGAATGTGTGCAAGACATGTTCTAGCCAATTGGTCTAAGTATTGGAAAGGCATTGAAAGAAGAATTTTTTTTTTTGGAGATGTGCCAAATCTACATATGAACAAGAATTGAAAAGAAATTTGGATCATATGGAGAAGTTAGGCACTGGAATATGTGATGACTTATTGTGGTACAATATAGAGAGGTGGTCTAAATTATACTTTAAGTTTTTCAGCTGTTGTGATAGTGTTGACAACAACATGGCTGAAAGCTTTAATTCATGGGTTTTGGGGGCAAGACACAAAATTATCATCACAATGCTTGAAGAAATAAGGATCAAAGTGATGAGGAGAATAAGACAATTGAGGGAGTTCTGTAATACTTGGATAACAAAAATATCTACAATGGCCCTAAAGGTATTGACAGAGAACACAACAAAGTCAATGAAGTGTAACCTTGGATGGAATGGTGAATATGGTTTTGAGGTTAAAGACAGCTGGGATAACACATTTGTTGTGAATCTAGGCAATCAAACATGTACTTGTAGATCTTGGATGCTAAGAGGTATACCTTGTTGTCATGTTATAGCTGCACTTCATTTTAGAAATTGGAGCCCATTAACTATGTTGCACATTGGTATAGCAAGGAGACTTATCTCAAGGTCTATAGTCACTACATTCAACTAGTTACTACCATGAAAATGTGGCCACAGTCGGCCAACCCTTCTGTTATACCACCTGTTATAAAAACACTACCAAGAAGGCCTAAAAGTGTAGGAGAAAGGAGCAGAATGAAAACAAAACAGGAAAATTGTCCAAGAGAGGTGTTGAAATGACCTGCAGTCTTTGTCATGCAAAGGGTCATAATAAGAGGGGTTGTCATTTGAATAATCAAGCTAATACAGGCAGAGGAAGATGAATGGGGAGAAGATGTGAGCCTAGTTCAACAAGGTCAAGTGTTGGTTCTTCTAGAGCACCAATTGAATCACAATCAAGCACAAAGAGAGGAAGAGGTCGACCAAGAGGTTCTACAAAACAGGTAATGTTTATAATAATTCGTTTAGTTGTTAATTTACATCTTAATCAGTCTAATATTTTTGTTGATCAATTTATGTTATAGGCTAGTGCTACTAGAAGGGGAAGAGGAACTGCAACTGGTAATAGAACAAAGATTGGTGTTGCTGCTGATAGTTCTGGTGCCACTGAAAAGGGAAGAGGAATTAGAACTGGTTTAGCTGGAAGGGGAAGAAAGACTAGTGTAGCTGCTACTGCTACTGATGTTCCTGGTGCTACTGGAGGAGGGAAGAGGCCAAGAATGGTTGGAATGGGGATACTACATACACAAAGTAGTTTTACAATCCACAATGTAAGTTGTCTTAATTATTTACACACTTTTTAATTTTAACTTATGAAGCATCTAAGACAACATATTTTTGTGAATCTAGCCTGGAATGCCTATGAACTCTTCAAAAGTGACTGGAAATCTTGGGCATCATAAACCAAGATCAGGCTTAAAATGGAAAGGAAAGGTTGTTGTAACTCAACAAGGTCTTCAAGAGATGAGAGAAAGCAAAAGAATGAGAACAAGGTCCAATGCTGCTGAAGTTTGATATGGAGACTGCTTTAGTTTGATATTTTAGCTGTTTTTGGAACAATTATGCAGCTGTGACTACATTAGTTTGATCTGTTTGTTTTTGAAACAATTATGGTGCAACTATGACTGCATTAGTTTGATCTATGTTTGTTTTTGAAATAATTATGCAGTGTGACTGCATTAGTTTGATATTTTAGTTGTCTCTTTTTGAAACAATTATGCAGCCAGTTTTGCAATACTTTTATGTGTACAATTATGCAATTGTGACTGCAATTTAGCGAATGCAGTTGTAAATAAAACACAAACAAATACACAAACCACCAAATTACATTAAGAGAATAAGAAGAACTCATTACAAAAGAGTCTTGCACCTAATTGGTTACAACATAAACAGTGCTACACTACACCAACATTGATCTCACTACATCAACAACTTAAGGTAACTTCATTGAACCTTTCTTCATATATATCACCCAGAACCAATAGCTTATAGCTATAACCACAACACAACAACAAGCTACAACAAAAAGAGCACATTCTACCATGTTCTTCTCCATTTATTCTGCATCACTTTCATCTTCTCAACCTCTTCTTGCAACATTTTCAATTTCATACCTAGACAATCATCATCTTGTTTGAAATCTCCCGTCTTGTCAACTTCTTCAGTAACCTCAACCAATTCAAATGCAGTGGCTGAGGTTTGAGAGGATTCTACTATATTCTCAAGCTCACCCAATTTCTGTATTGGTTTAGGAATCACAAATTTCGACCTCGAATCAATATTTTCTTTATCCTTCCAACACCAAAAGTTGCAAGATCTAGGACCCTTCAATAATGAAAAAGGATGAAGGAATTAGTGGTTAATCAAATTCTTAATTGGCTAAACAAATTTAAACAAAAGTGATCTTTACCCCATAATAAGGACATGACCAATATATTCTTCCGGGGTTATTTGAAGTCCAAGATGTTTTCAAACGCACCACAAGTCCATGATTACAATAAACTTTTTTCTTCGTAGTATAATCATCTTCTTCCATACAAAGATTTGTCAAATTAATTGATCGCATTGTGTGCTACAATTTTGTGCAAGAATTAACGAGAATCTGAAAAAAAACAGAAAATAAGAAAAAGAGAGGAAAGAAAAATCAAACTAATAGATGAAGAAGAATAGGTTTGAATCTTACATTTTGAAGAACAATTCCTTCAAAGATTCAACTTTTAGGTTTGAATCTTACATTTTGAAGAACAATTCCTTCAAAGATTCAACTTTTAGGTTTGAATCTTACATTTTGAAGAACAATTCCTTCAAAGATTCAACTTTTAGGTTTGAATCTTACATTTTGAAGAACAATTCCTTTAAACATTCAACTTTTAGGTTTGAAGAGCTAAGATTTGAGAAAAATAATGAATTAGGTCACCATTTTTTGGATGATTGGGTTGGTGAGGGAGAAGAGGTATTTAGGGTTCTTCAAAAGTGAAGATTGTTCTTCAAATGGGTAATGGGTCGGATATTACCGTTAGAGGGGCAAATTTAATTTTTAAAAAATGTTAAAAGATGACTAACGCACCGTTCTAAGCTGTAACAACACGCGCACAAGGTTGGTGTTCGGAGGGTTGAAAATAATTCATATAAAAGATGTTAAGGGGATATATAAACACCCGTGTAGTTTAAGTACTAAAGTAAGTTTTCGTGCCAAGTTCAGGTTTTTTTTTTTAATGTATTTTCCCTTTAAACTTTTCTCAAACTTTATTATATAGGTTAAACTTTATTATTTGATTACAACACCATAAAATTTCACTCAACTATTTTTTTATTTATTAAAAATAAAATTTAATAATTACGTAAACAAAAAAATTGCAATTTTCAATATCATATCATATCATATCGAACCATGCCACCCTAACGAACAGGTGTTGGCACGTCTTAGTCACACAACTAGAGATCTCGTGGAAGAAGTAGAGATCTAGCAACCTAAAAATCTGGTATTAATAAATCCCACTGCCAATCATATCTTACTATACTAATACTTTATTTTAATTTCTTTATCTTATTTTTTGTGTTAGTCCATTTTAAAAAAAATATTTTTTATTACAATTTTTTAATTTTAATTTTAATTTTTATATATTATATTAAAGATCACAAGATTAAAATACATCATGACATGTTATATATACTTTTAATTTGAGATTATACAAGTCAATTTTTTTATTATTTATCTCAATTTTTGTGACAATTTTTTTGATAGTCAATCTCCAAAAGAATGTCAAATTTCCTTATTTGACGACTAGTTAAGGGTATCATCCCCACTTCACATTTATTGGATGCCATTTAACATCATCTTTCTTTATCTAAAACGTTGTCTGATCAAACAACAATGTTAATAACGATTTCAACAAAATTTTATAAATAAGGTTTGTAAAATGTATAGTGTATACCAATTATACCCTTACCTTGTGGAGGTAAAGAAGCTATGTCTGAAGGATCCTCTACTTGAGTACAACATATCAAAATAGATATGTAAAAAGACAGATCCCATCTGTGAAATTTTAACGACGGTGGAAAAACAAAACAACTCATAAAGAAATAATAATAGCTATAGAATGATGCCTAACCTAAACACAATCAACAACAAGCTAAGTGATGGTGAAATCAAAAGCAAAAAAGACACTACAAAAATACAACTAAATTTCTATCCTGATAACCTCGATACCCTCCTATCTAAGATCATCTCTTCGATAATTTGAAGTTGCGTTGTATTCTGTGTAATAATCTCTTTCCAGTGCTTTTTCGATCAGTCTCTACCTCTCTGTGTAACTATTATATCCAATCTCTCGCACCTCCTCAATAAAAATACTTATTTTTTAAATTCCACGACAAGTCTAAAATAAATAAATTGATATAAAGAGAGTTTTTAAAAACATTTTCCAGCTTATTAAAGTATAAAAAAATTCAACCAATTGTAAACTGTCGGCATTAGTTGATTTTCCTTCCATTTTACCTTACCGTAACAGGCGACAAGAATAACCCCTTAAACCAAACACTTTTTTTTTTCTTTCTTTAAACTCAAAGGAATTCGTAGATCAGATCTTCTATGCTTTGTTCTCTTCTACACCATTTGAATCTATTAACTCAAACAAGCTCAGGTCAGTTTTAATTTTATCTTTTATCATTGCTTTTAGTTGTTGCTTTCTTGATTGTTCAATTGCATTTACTCTTATTGATTGATTCAACCTTCTTTTGGGGTTTTTTCGAATCTATAGACCTGTAATAGAAATGGGGTTCTTTTGTTTTCCCTCTTTTGTTGAAAATTTGATTTCAGAGGATTCAAAGTTGTGATTTTTATTGTTTTTTTGGGGTTTGATTTCGGGAGATTTCCTTATTTGTTGTTTTGGGATTTGAGTTGAATATCAAGTTGCTATAATGCTGATTGTTGAACTTGTTTTGGCCACCAGTGAAGCTCAGCTCAGTTTTAGTCTATCTTTTCTCAATGCTTTTAGTTGTTGCTTTCTTGATTCTTCAATTGCATTTGCTCTTTTGGATTGATTCAACCTTCTATTGGTTTTTTTTTCAACCTGCTATAGAAATGGGGTTCTTTGCTTTCCCCTTTTCTTGAAAATTTGATTCAATAGGATTCAAATGTTGTGATTTTTATTGTTTCTTTTTGTGAAATTTTGGCAGATTTCCTTAATTCTTGTATTTGGATTTGAGTTAAATTTCAAGTTGCTATAATGCAGATTGTTGAACTTATTTTGCCCACCAGTGAAGCTCATCTCAGTTTTGGTTTATCTTTTCTCAATGCTTTTAGTAGTTGCTTTCTTGATTCTTCAATAGCATTTACTCTTTTTGATTGATTCAACCTTCTTTTGGGTTTTTTTCAACCTGCTATAGAAATGGGGTTCTTTTGTTTTTCCCCCTTTTCTTGAAAATTTGATTCGATTGGATTCTAAGTTGTGATTTTTACTGTTTCTTTTTGTGAGATTTGACTGAAATTTTAAGTTGCTTTAATGCAGATTGTTGAACTTAATTTGGTCACTAGTTAATTGGATTCGTGAGCTCAGTGCTGGTTTCAATTGCTTATTAGGCGTGTTTATCAGAAATAATAGTGTCAATTTGAAGTTCTAAAGGGTTCACTACAATTAGTCTGGTCAAGATAATTGGAAATATAAAGCCTATATAGACGACTTGGCGGATAAGCTTGGTTGTCAATGGGAGGAAGATGTTTTGATTGTGGAGGAAAAAGGAGATGTTAGAGAGTGAATTGACTATTGAGAAGGTTGAACAGAGTGCAAGTGACAGCTTTCGTAGGGCGCCTTCTTTCTCGGGCTGGTGTGATGATAATGACACCATCCATTCGGCTGAACTAGGGAATGCTGGTACACTCACTGACGACTTTGACTTTGAACTGCCTCTGGTGAATCAAATAGGTATAGGAAATGGATCTGTAGACGTAGATACACAAAATTACAACTTTAAGCCGAGGATGAAGGGTGGTGGTGATTTGGCTGTTGCATCTACTGCAAATGGAAAAGATAGATATGTTCCGTTTGATGTGGAGAACGGTTCTAGAAGTAATCAAACATATTCAAATGTGCACGGGGAAGGATCTGCTCATCTGGACCACCACGATGCATCACAAACAAAGTCAAAGAATGTTGTTTCCGTAGCTGATGTGCTGAAGACACTGTTCTTAATCCTTGTATGGTACATATTCAGTACATTCTTGACATTGTAAGTCTACTTGGTCATGAGCTTATGATTTTACTAAGTGATTTGTTTTCTCTCATCCGTATTGAAGCTTTGGACACGTTGGATCTTATCATGCATTCATCTGGTCTAGGTATAATAAAACTCTTCTAGGGGATCATCTAGGGAGATTCCCTGCTCCTTTACTGATGAATACATTCCACTTTGCAATGCAAGCCATTTTGTCCAAAGGCATTACTTGGTTCTGGTCCCGAAAATTTCAACCCACTGTAAAGATGACTTGGAGAGATTATTTTTTGAGAGGTAACTATGTTTGTCAATTTGTCATATCCTTTTTCTTTAAGCTACACTGAGATACAGGTTATTTTTGTTTCATGCGTTATTATGGGTTTTCAACAGACTGTTCATTGTCTTCTACTGTATGATTATAAATAGCTCTAGATGCAAGGAACTGTTCTGACCTTAGTTCCTTTGGAAAGAAATCAGAAGAGAAACAGAGACCAGAGTAGGTTAGGTAGAAATATTGAAATATTTGAGAGTTGTATGACAATTTATAAGCAGGAGATTGTAACCCAAGGGTACTCTATTAGGTACACTTCTTTTCTTGTAAAGTTTGCATGTAAGGTTCGTTATTGGGAAGACAAACTGCCTGATCCTTGCATAGTTCTATGTTCCCAGTTAGTACACCTTTTTCACTTACGGCTTCAACTAGCAAGCCACTTAGCACAACCCCACATTTTCTTTTTAAATTTTAGTTGTAAAAACAACAGGAAATGAGTGCTGAGATTCGTACAATGTCGAATGACTAGTAGCGCTTATCTATGATCTAAGGAGTCAATAAAGTCCAACAAAGTGTCAGACTAACTTACATCTATCATGGACCTCAAAAAGATAAAGATGGTTAACACCTAAGCTTTATAGTATGAACCTAGAGTTCCTCTCCTTCCACCCTATCCATACAATGCATGATTATAACATTTCGTAGGACTTTAGGCTGCTTTGGTTTCTTCAGGCCTCTCTTGCTGATGACCTCCTTTAGATGAGTCTGACTTTGATACGGATGATAAGAAATGACCTTGGTGCCTAACTCAACTGCAAAAGTTAGCTCATAATGTGGGGATTGTCCAAGACTTATAATGAGACTAATTATAAGCATTTAGATGAAATGGTTACACCCTTCAACATGATATTATAGAAAGAACATGTCTTGGGTTCAAATCTTACTGCTATCCTTTATCAAAAAGAATTTCCATGTGCTTGATTCATAAAAAAGAATCAAGCCTCAAGTAAGGGGGCATATTGAATATATAATAAAATACACAAACGTGTATTCTATCTAACAATTTAAGCTTTTAGATAAGATTATTGCACACTTCAACATGGTATTAAAGCAGCCGAGGTCTTGGATTCGGGTCTCACCACCATCAATTATCAAAAAGAGTTTCTGCGACCCCCACGTGAGAAGTTTTGTTGAAAAAATATATTTTTAATAAGAAAAACGATTATTAAAATGCCTGCAATGGGAATCGAACTCGGACGCATAAACAAATAAAGAATTTTTGCGGCCTACATGAATTAACGGCACCCAAAGCCGATTTTGTGTGTTGAAACATATTTGCTCTCTCTGACAAGTTTTTAATGAAATGGTCACACAACTTCAACAGGTTGAATGTTCCTCACTTTATTCCCGAGGATCAGGAAGCCTTAGCCATATCTGCGATAACTAATACAACTCCTAAAATCACAATTGCTCCTTTTGTCCCCATTAGAAGATCAACATCTCATCAATAAATAGAACATGAGACACTATTGCTACATTTCCAGCATCAGTCCTACTTTAAATATAGAAATCCATCTTTATCTGTTGATACCTTTGGTATCTGACTTATCTTTTCATTACTATTACTAGTATAGATAAGTGATAAGAAAATGGAACTTGACCTAATTCAATCCCAAAAGCTAGATCATGAAGTCAGGATTGCCCAGGACTGCCATATAAAAAGAGTTCAAATACCCCATCCATAGCCGATGTGAAACTTTCAATGCTCCCTACCGAACATCTGGATCGTGGACAATATAACATTGGGGGGGGGGGTAAACAAAGGCCATGGGGAAAACAA